CTGACTGACTATTGTCCTGTTTCCAACCCCACCGCCTGCTCACCCACTGGGTCCCCGACACCCACACAGGTCAGACTGCTTCCCTCCATTGCCTCGCTCCCTGGTTACAGCTCCAGCTTCCCTTGGATGACAGCCTCAGGACGGCACTGCTAGGAGTAGGCATGAGGTCCCATAGCTACCAGACTTTGGAATGCATGCATCTGTAAAGTTAAAAACAAACAAAAAAAATGAAGGTGACCAACAGAGGGTCACTGTTTATCTTTCTAAATGGGAATTTTTTTTCTAGAATCACCAACTTCTTCTCATTCCATAATAGAAAGAACATTTTAACACCAACTGAAAGTAGGAAGAACAAGATTTAACAATAATAGAATAGTCCTTTAAGTGAAATCAATTCAATTTTATGACAACATTTGCAACATTACGTGTATTTTACTTATTCTGCCCCAAATGGGTGAAGATGTTGTCAGGGACTGGCCCAGCTGGAAACCCTGTCTTGTGCAAGCCCCGTGGGGAAAGGGAGTGACCTCTACTTTGGGCAGAAAGGGCAAAGCTGGGACAGGACCCATAGCTCATTGGCCACTCCCACACCCCATGGGGCCCCTCTGGTCTCTTCGCTGAAAGAACTTCTGGAGGCTGCCTGGCTGGGGGTCAGACACCAGACCCCCTGCATTTCGTGCTTTCCTCTGGTCCTGTGTGCCAATGGACAATTTAACCCCTTGCTGTGCTTCACTTTCCTCTTTTGTAAAATGAGCAAAATAACAACTAGCTTTCTAGAGCTGCCTCACACACCTGGAAAGGTCCAGGACTGTTAGCCGCTATTAGTGTTATTATCACAAAGTCGGGGGGCAATTTGGGCTGAGGCTAGAGCCTTGGAAGGGAGAGAAGGCACGTGCACCCCGCCACCCGGGGGCCGGGGGGTGCAGGCTGTGAGCTGCACGTCGGGGGTGGGTACCGGCCTGGGAAGGAGCCTTAGGGCCTTGGACCCCAGCAAGGCTGCTTTGCAGGAGCCAAGGGTGGCATGGCCCCCTGCCTCCTCAGGACCCCACCTAGCTTGTTCAGGCACCCCAAGCCCAGGAGCCGGCACTCCAGTCACGGACATGGACACTCCCAGTGGGAGCAAAGGCGAAGCTCCAGGTGGCATTCACGGCCGCAGATGCCGCAAAGGGGAACCAGGACAGCAGAGGAGCCGGGTAGATGCCAGTGACCATGGACACCATGGGAGGCAGCCTTGAGATGCCCCGAAATTCTGGAGGTCGACTCAACAGATGAGGTTGGAGGTCTGCGCAAGCAGGTGAGAGTAATTAGGGAAACTTTGGGTTATTGATGTAAATTGACTTCATTTGTATTCAAGGCCAGGCAGGCCTGTTACAATTGGACAAACATTTCCTTCGCAGCTGCTCTGAGCCAAGCACAGTGCTAGGCAGGGGATGCAAAGATGAAAAGAGCAGGGAACTTTCTTTCCAGGGACACAAGGCTTACCTAGTGCGGGTAGCGCTCTGCCTCCGAGAAAGGCCAGAGACACGGGCCAGGCCAGCCTGAAACATCTGACACTTCTATTCCCTGGTTCGAGGATGTGCCCAGAAAGGAGAGCACTTTGAAGGCAGACCTAACGGGACTTGGTGACCTCCTGGATGAGAGTGTGAGGCAGAGGGAGGCGCAGGTGGCTCCCAATGTCTTGGCTTGGCACCTGGGTGGACAGCGAAGACATTCCCAAGAGGCAACGCAGGAGAGTGAGCAGGGCTGGCGGGGACATGTACTCCAGAGGGGGCTGGCTGAGTCTGGGGGTGCTTGAGGCATATGCGGGTCAGTGGGCACATACACGCATTTAGGGATCAGGAGAAACGTCAGACAAAGAAATGAGTTAACGCAAGGATGTGGGACCAAAAAGAGCTGGGAAGGCTAGACAGATTTTGCCTATTGGGTGGGGCAGCGATCTAAGGGAGTGCCTAGCAGGCAAACAGCTTGAGACAAGACATGGAGGCGGAGGAAAGCGGCACAAAAATTCAGAAAAGGTAGTAATAGCATTGAGCTTAAGCACCGGTTGCCTTAGGGTAGTTGTGAGAGGCGTATCACAACTGAAGAGATAGAGAGGCTTAGCCTCTGAAGTTAGGCTGGGTAAGGTCTGTATACAATTCGGCAGGCAACAGGGAGCCACTGAAGGGTGTGGAGCAGAAGAGGGGTGTGATGAAGGCTATGTCTCAGCTTGAGCTAACCTGACAGCACATGACGAATTAAAACAAAGACCAAAACAGAGGAATATGAGGGACAGGGATCGCCACTTCTTTGTTCATTCACCAAGCAGGGAGCCTCCTCTGTGCAGAAGAAACCTTTTTCCTCAACCTAACATCTAGCCCCTCATCTGCTAAGGGTTCAGACACCCAACCACCTAGCGTTAATACTGCATGCAAAAAAAAAAAAAAAAAAAGAGTAACTGTAGGCTTCTACTAAACATTTCGGGATAATCAATAAATGTGAACGAGTTTAGGTCACCTCCTAAAAGAAAAGGAGTTTTACACGTACATGCAATGGAACACTATCCAGCCTTAAAAAAGGAAAGAGATTCTGACACCTGCTACAACATGGATGAACCTGGAGGACATTGTGCCGAGTGAAAGAAACCAGACACAAAAATGAAGAGAGTTCTGGAGGTCTCCTCCTTGCACGATGTGAATGTACGTACTACTACTGAACTGTGTACTTACAAATGATTAAGGCGGCAAGTGTAATGGGTATTTTATCACAATTAAAAATAGAGGTCATTTTTAAAAGGAGTTTCCAAATGGATCATAGAACAAAACCCAGCTCTAAAACAGAAACCACGCCTAAAACAGTCATTTGGAAACCTACAAATAAAGGAACGGGAAAGCTACACCAAGCAAATGTAAACAAAAAGCAAGCATGGACTGTGAGCTTGATAGAGGACAAGACAGAACTCAGACTCCAAGCATGGAGTGAGATGAAGACGAGTGAAGAGCCAGACTCTCTGGGCACCGGACAACCCGGCAGCAAGTCATCCAGCAGAAACTACAGGAAGTGCAAGAAAAAATACGAATGCTAGTCAGTCCCACACTCACCAAAAGGCCAAAAAATAATACAGAAAACCCAATATAAACTACATTTCCTGTGTACATATCAAAATTTGTGCCCCCCCAGAGACTGTACCTTTTGGTACACATCATGGAAACTGACCACGTATTAGAGCAAAAGAAACTGCAAAGCTTTGCTCAGTGGTTTCAATGGGCTAGAGGTAGGAGCACTTTGAAAACTAGAAGGGACCAAGCCAATATGAGTTATTGGTGCCATCGACACTATTCCTATCATTATTGTCATTATTCACTGGTTCTCTTACAAGTTCTAGGGGAGTCTGCCAAACAGGTAGAAGGTGAAATATGCAAATATAAACCTTTACCATCATCCCTTCAGTGTTTACCATGTGTGACCTCCTGTGCAGCTTTCAACACACACCTTTATTAGAAATAGCTCATTGTTGGGGCGCCCGGGTGGCTCAGTCGTTAAGCGTCTGCCTTCGGCTCAGGTCATGATCCCAGGGTCCTGGGATCGAGCCCCGCATCGGGCTCCCTGCTCCGCAGGAAGCCTGCTTCTCCCTCTCCCACTCCCCTGCTTGTGTTCCCTCTCTCACTGTGTCTCTCTCTGTCAAATAAATAAATAAAATCTTTAAAAAAAAAAAAAAAGAAATAGCTCATTGCTTTATGAGAGTGAGCTTTCTGCTTCTCTTCTATCACCTTCAGGGCCTGGAGCAGTGCATTTTGAGTAAGTATTTGGTGAAGACTTACGAACTGAAGTGCACTGATTAAGGACCTACTTCAAAGTCAGATCTGAGTTTCAAACTTCTGGCACCGACTAGCTGTGTGACCTTGGACAAGTTGAATGCCCATTCTGAATCTCGGTTTTCTCATACGTAAACAGATAGGAGCAATACTTACACCAGCTAACACTGTTCAGAAGTTTAACTCTCATAAGTGTCCAGCATGGTGCCTGCTCTAAGGTAGACATTCAGTAAAGGTTAATCTGAGGTTGAGGAAGAGTAGGTAAAACTCACCAAAACAGATAAACTTAGAATAGGGGTTCTTTTCTCTCAAAAAGCAAAAAAAAAAAAAAAAATCTTTAAATAAAAGCATCCTCCAATGCATGTAAAATGATTTTTTTTAAGATTTAGTTATTTGGGGGTGGGGGGGAGGCAAAGGGAGAGGGAGAAAGAGGCCCAAGCAGACTCCTGCATGGAGGCCACACAGAGCTCAATCCCCACGACCCTGAGATCATGACCCAAGCCGAAACCAAGAGTCAGACACCCAAACTGACTGCACCACCCAGGCACCCCTGTAAAATGATTTGAAAAAATATCATAGGGGTAGCAGTGAAGTAAGTTAAGGTACATCCATAGTATGGAATACCACACTGCAATGAAAAAGGGGTGAGTTGTATCTCCATGTTCACATATGAGCAGATGGCCATCATGTGTTGGGTTAAAAAAAAAAAAAGCAAGCTTCAGAATATGAACAGAATAGTTCCCTTCCCTGCTTTTTAAAAATTATGTACGTATAAATGTCTGGAAGAATACACATCTCATCATTAAAGGGGGAGTAAGATTGGGAACTTAACGAGAAGTCTTTTAACTTTTTATATTCCAGTTTCTTTTGTAACTTCTAACACACACAAACACACACACACACACACACAAGCATGTAAAAAAGAAAAAAACAGGACAAAAGTTTTCAAATTCTCTTTGGCCTGTATGTTTCATGGGACTTGGAAAGCCGGTGAGCTGAATGGAGGAGGTGGTTAATCCTTCTGGCGAGGGTAGGAATGTCCATCCCCGGCTTTTCCTTTTGAAAGAAAGAGGTTCAAGGAAGGAGAGAGGGAGAAGGCATTGCTCCAGCATTACTCATTACTCAGCAGATCCAAACAGGTAGTCTCATCCCAGTCCCTGCCACCACCACAGCCCGACACAGAGGAACAGAGAAACTCTTTGATAAATGTCAACTGAAACAGAGCAATCAGCTGAAAGCCATTTGCTGAGCTGTCTGACTGCCCTGGGCTCGAGGTTTTCCTTTATTCATTTATCATGATATACAGCTTTGGCCAACATACACACAGGAGAGAAATTGTTGACATGTGGGACCCAAGTACAGAAAATCTTTCATTTTCCACCCCACCCCCCAACCCCGTCTGTTCACCAATAAGTTTTTGTTTATTTAAAGACTACAGAGGATTTGGCTGTTAAGAACCAAATGCCTTTGGAGTGGAGTTACAACATAATTTATCATTTCCTCTGTTTATTAAAAAATCCTGCATCTTTGAGAAGCACATTTGCTCTGAGTGGGGGATTTCGGCCACTCACGAAAGACTGCCGCAATGCCCCGCCATGTGGCTTACCCCAAAAAAGGCTCCTTGATTGCTATGTCTATCCCTGTTCTTCCCCCAGCTGACTTCTGATCGTGTGATGGCTACTCAAGGCTGGTGAGTGGGGTTGGACTGAGGACAGGTAAGGTGGGGCGGAGACTAGGTTAGCTTCTTTCATTTTTGACCTGATTCTGACCTTGAACCCTCATTGGCTGTGTACACTGCGCTCTACCAGTACAAGCAGAGGGAGAAGAGCAGACCTCCCCCAAGGGACGGGATCTGAGAGGAGTCAGACAGCAGAGTGAAGCTGGATGCCGCTTCAAAGGAGGGAGGCCAGGCCCCGCAGCTGCCCAAGGAGGTTCCACTCTAAAGGCAGACATCTGGCAAAACTGGAATGAACTTCCGACCTTCCACTCAAGACATTTTGGATAACGACTTAGTCCAGTGTGCTGTGCATCCCTCAAAGACAGAGGTCACATCTTGCCCATTTTTGCACCCCCAACATGTAGCACGGTACCTGACATGCAACTCGTGCTCACGAAGTGTTCATGAAGGCTGCAGGATGCAGTGGGCAGAGCACAAGCTTTAGCTCAGGCCTCAGTTTGAATCCCAGCTCTGCCACTTGCTAGCTATGTAACCCTGGGCAAGAAATTTGACCTCTTTTGAGCTCCTCCCTCTCTGCAAAATGAGTCTGACAATGAATAATGAAACCCTCTATCACTTCACTAGGCTTGTTACTTTGGGGAAGTTCTCTAATATTGTCAGGTCTCAGTCTTCCTATTTATAAAATGAAGATAATACACATCTCGTAAGTTTACCATGAAGATTGAAGATACTGCCTAGAATTGTATCTAGCTGTGTATAATGAATGAGAGAATGAAAAGAGAAGAAAAGAGAATAAAGAAAAAAAAAAGAAAGAAAATAATATTACTAGAGGAAAAAAACCTTACTTAACCCAGGACCCAAAGATAAGCCACAACAAACCACTTGTCTGTCAACAGGCAGGCTCTGGGGGAAAGGTATCTCATTACCAAGTAAATGTTGAGGACAAAGGCAAGAGTGGAAAATGACAGAGTGGTGGTGTTACAACTGGAAATAAAGGAAAAGAAGCCAGTATTTGTGAGCAGCTACTTGGTACAATTCATTTACAACACATCTGAATGCCTCCTATGTTCCAGGCATTATGTCAAGTTCTAAGGAAAATAAAGATATATAGACTAATTATCAAAAAGAATAGTGAAGGTTCAGTTAAAAGCCGTGGACAGTGCTGAGAGCCAATGATAGGAGTCCTAGGCTGGGGGAAAAGGGAAGACTTCCCAGAGGAGGTGATACCCAAGCTGAGACCTGAAGGATGAACAGGACTGGCCAGGTAGGTCAGCAGGGCCAGAATGGTCCAGGCAGAGGAAAGAGCATGTGTGAGGATGGCTCAGAGGCAAAAGTGTTGTTCTGGTGGCTTTACATACAGGTCCTTAGAGAACATGAATCCAGACTGACTCTATCCATTCCTTTGTGGTGGTTATTCTTTCCAATTTATTTTGATTTTATTGTTAGGTAAAAATGGGCCTCTAGCAAAGAGATCCAGTCACAGATGAAGGCCCACATCAACCCAGAGTTCAAAGTTGGGGATGGGGCCCAACTAATTGAAAAGGAGGCTCTCGAGATGAGAAGCAGGCGGTGCTGAGCCTGCCAATAGTCCTAGTTGCTTGGCAATGTCACGATCAGGGCAAACGCCCTAAGTAGAGGCCATCCGTCACAGCGGATACTCTCTGAGGGCCAGCCAAGGCAGAGGGCCAGAGGAGAATGGGGTGGACAGGGTAAAGGAGGAAGAGAATGCACAAGTCTGGGTGTCCCACTAGGAGGCTGAGCCTCATAAAGACTGACAGCTGCATGGTGACAGCCTTCTGTGTGGACAGAGAAGAGAGGGGGCAATTTGCCACCCATGGGATCCACCAGAAACTGGGCTCTGGAGTACTGCTGCCCCGGGTGGACTCTCATCCAAGGAGTTCTTTGGTCTTCACTGCTAGATGCCTGTCCAGCTCTGCAACGGTGTCGTCGGCCATTTGGCTGATCTGCAGGAACACAAAATGAGACAGCCCGATAACTGGCGCTGGGGAAGGGCAGGGGGACAAACATTCCAAAACTATGGAAAAGTTATCTGGGAAATAGTGATGGTGACAGAAGCTCATATTATTTAGTCCCAGCCAGGCACTGTGCTAAGAACTTTATATACACACTCTTACTGATTCCCAACAGTAGCCCCATGAGATAGATACTATCATTATCCCCATTTCACAGACGAGGAAATTGAGGCAGTTAGATCACCTGTCAGGATACACAGCTGAAAGTAGCAATGACAAAATTTAATCCCCAGTAGTCTGATTCCACAGCCCAAAATTCTTAACTATTATTATAGAACACAGAGAAGCCAGCCTTATTGGTCACTTAATGACCCTCTAGAATTTCCTACACCTCCGACACTCTGGTGTATAAAGACTATTAAGATCCCAGTAGTTAAACAGAAAAAAAAAAAAAAAAGTCTTGAAAAAAGAAGAAATACATCTGGTTAACAAACATGGAAAATTCAACAGACACTGAAGAAATGCAAGTTAAAATAAGATATAATTCAGTTATCGTAGTTAATAAAGTTTGATGTTGTAGCTTTTAATTACAATATTCAATGCCAGAAAGCTATGGTAAAATGGATAAGCTCATATATCAAATGACAGGAATTCAAATTGATGCAAATGTCCACACCATTTTTTAACCGCCTAAATCTCTCAACTGGGAAATTACCACATGAATGGAATCTGAAAAAAATTTCTAAAGTTCCATATGCAAAGATATTTATGTAGGCTTTATTTTTTTTAAAGATTTATTTATTTTAGAAAGAAAGTGGGGAGGGGCAGAGGGAGAGAGAGTCTCAAGAAGACTCCACACCAAGTGTGAAGCCTGACGCAGGGCTCAATCTCACGATCCTGAGATCACAACCCAAGCCAAAACCAATCACGACCGGAGCTGAAACCAAGAGTCTGATGCTTAAACAACCTTGCCATCCAGATGCCCCTATCTAGGCTTTATTTATTTATTTATTTAAAGATTTTATTTATTTGCCAGAGAGAGACACAGTGAGAGAGGGAACACAAGCAGGGGGAGTGGGAGAGGGAGAAGCAGGCTTCCCGCTGAGCAGGGAGCCCGATGTGGGGCTCGATCCCAGGACTCTGAGATCATGACCTGAGCCGAAGGCAGACACTTAACGACTGAGCCACCCAGGCGCCCCTAAGCTTTATTTTTAATAATGAAAAATCAGAAAATATAAAGTGACAGAACAGGGAAGTAGCTGAATACATATATCCATTAAAAATGGTTAAGATTAAAAAAAAAATGGTTAAGATTATCTACTTTTTATGGAAAGGGCATAAATATGAATAACATTCTAGCACATATTTCTGAAATGTTTGAATGTTTATAGCAAGTATGGATTGCTTTTGTAATCAGAAAAAAGGAAATAATGTTTAAGATATTCTTTATAATATCATGGGAAAATGCGCATGTTACCTTTAGAGTTAAAGAAAAAGCAGGATACAAAATTGTGCATATACATAGCAGAAATTATCTCAAGTATGTAAAAAAAATGCATATTTCTTAAAAATGGAAGGAAACATGTGAAAATATTAATGGTCTTTATCTTTTAGTGATGATAGGTAATATATTACTCATGTCCCCATCTGTCACATCTTGCAAAAGACCTAGTGCATAGCAAGTGCTCAGGAAATATTTACTAAATGAATAATTATCAAAGTTTTCTGTGCTTTTCTAGATTTTCCAAATTTTCAAAAATAAACATGTACTGAAAGTGAGAAAACACAATACAATTTAATAAGTGTTGCAGCTTCCCTCCCACGTCTGAAAGGGACCAAAGACAGGAAGCCTTGAAGTATGGTGCCCAGGATCCGTGTGCTCAGCGGCACAGTGGCTGCTTGACATCTTTATTTGCAGACCACAGGCCTTGGCCAAGAACTAGGAACTAAATGCACTGGGAAGGGTAGAAATGAAAAAGGATTTGGAACAATTGGTCCCAGGCAGGGAGACAACCAGGCTCTCACCGTATCAACAGCTGCACATTTTGCAGCCGGGGGGAAAGCAGGGCTTCAGGGGCTGCTGGGCATGCTGGAAGAGCGGATGGGCTCAGAATGGCTGCTGGGTCCCTCCTCACTCAGCCACAGGCTTTCAGATGCTGCCGCCCCCGCCCAGAACAGCTGCCTTGCATGGCGGGTGGCATGATGCCCAGCAGCACTCACTCCGGCAAGCCTACTCTGGAAAAATGGCGCAAGGGCAGTTTGGGGACAAGAATGGGGACTGGGGAAGGAAGAGTACCTAAAGTAACAGTGTGATAATGTGGGTGCTGGGTTAAATTCTCAGTGGGGTGACATGTGTAAGTCACTGAATCTCAGTTTCCTCATCTATCAAATGGGGATGCCGGTCCCTTCCTCAGAGAGTAGTTGTACAAGTCGAACTTGTTCATGAATATGCAAGCATGGTTTAAACTGGTTATTTGCTATGCAAATGCTGCTTGTGCTACTCTGATTTTTATTATCACTTCCTGACTTCTTTTCAAATTAATCAATTAATGAAAATATTTACTAACTTTCTACCAAATTATAGGCACAAAGTGCCCTTGGGGACAGTCTGCCTGCAAGTTCATCTTTTCCATCTTTATCAGACTTCTTAAATAATGATGATTAACATGAGGCACCTGAGTGGCTCAGTTTGTTGGGCATCTATCTGACTCTTGATTTTGGCTCAGGTCATGATCTCAGGGTCATGAGATCGAGCCTGAACTCAGGCTCTGCACTCAGCGGGGAGTCTGCTTGAGATTCTCTCTCTCCCTCTCCCTCTGCCCCTCCCCTGCTCGCACATGCACTCTCTCTCTCTCCCTCTAAAATAAAGAAATAAAAAACCTTTAAAAAATAATAAAATAAAATGATGATTAACAACAATGACAACAGCACCAATAGCTCTCTCTTACCGAGTATTACTAGGTGCCAGGCACTAGGCTAAAAACTTCATATGCATTATTTCACATAATCCTCAAAACCTATGAAATGCTGTTACTATGTCCCTTTAATACATTGTGAATATTTAACTATTTCACCTGACAGTTGCATAGTCGTACATGGTATGCAAAGGGGTTTTGTCCAAATCCAACAACCACACGTAACTTCTATAAGGCAAGTGAGACAGGTATTATCCCCATTTTACAGAGGAATAAACCAAGGCGTAAATGTTAACTAATCTGCCCAAGGTCCCGTTGAAAAGTCAGTGGTGACTGAGCCAGGAAGTCCCCCGCCCCTATTGCCAGTTTGGTGCTGCTACCCGCTGTGAGGCGCCCCCAGCACCTGGCCTCGTCCTTCCTCACTCCAGGCAAGCTGTGTGGGGGTCATTCCAACCGTCAATCCTAGCCCCGAATTTAAAGTCAGAGAAGGGTGGGGAAAGCAATGGGATGGACCAATAGGGTGGACAATTACTGAGGACTGGCAACCACACCAGCCACTTTAAACTATGTGTGTCATCTGGTCCTCTCAGCAAACCTGTGAGATAAGCACCCCTCCTCCCACTTTTAGATGAGGAGACAGAAGCTCAAAAAGGTGAAGCCATTTGCTAACCTTTGCAGCCGAGAAGTGAAAGAGCTGGGATCTGAACCAGTCAGGCCTGCCTGCCTCCACAGCAAGAGCCCTTTCCATTTTAATCCACTGCCCATAAAGACCATATCGTCATGGTCGTCGTCATCCTCACATCTGCTCCCTTCTCGTTCAGGAAAGTGGGAGGCGGAGCCAGGACAGGGGAAGGCAGGAGCACACAGTGCAGGGCTGGGGCAGGCGGGTAGCAAGCCAGCCTCCCAGAGGCCTGGCTCAGAATGCCCACTGCCTCACCCAGGCCAGCCTCCCTGCCTGCCTGCCTGCCTGCCTGGCCGCCGGGAGCCCCTCCCTCCCTCAGCCTGCTCGCACCCAGCTTCACTTCAGAGCAGCACTGTTGCTCAGAAAAAGGCAGCAGTGAAAGGATCTTGGCCAGATTTACTGGTGGTTCTGCCAAGCGCCTTGATGCTCAGCAGGCCCATTTATAGTAAACTGAAGCAAAGGTGAAACAGCAGGCTGGCAGATGTCAGAGTCCAGAGTGGGTAGGCCCCGGTCCTTCTTTAGCAGAGCTGGTCTGGGCCTCGGGCTGGGAAGCTGGGTGTGTGTGTGGGGGGGGGGGCGGTGTCAGATGTGACTATAGGGATAGAACCTATAACTCAATCCCTTCATTTTTATAATATAGTTTTTAAAAAATCTGACCTCAAAAGAATTTTGGAACATTAAAAAAAAATCCCACAAAGAATAATACTGAAATTGTTCATAATCCCACTGCCTAAAATGACCACCATTAATGACCACCATTCTCAAGTGGATAAGTTGCCAATCTTTTTTTTAAGATTTTATTTTTAAGTAATATCTACAACCAATGTGGGGCTTAAACTCACAACCCCAATATCAAGAGCCACATGCTCTACTGACTGAGCCAGCCAGGCACTCCTAAGCTGCCAATCCTTTTATGTACATGAAAATTTTCACTATAAAAATGGAATCATAATATTGTTGTGTAACCTACCTTAAAAAAATAAATTCCAAAAGAAACTTACCATGTCTGCAAAATATTTTTTTAAAGATTTTATTTATTTGCGAAAGAGAGAGCGAGCATGAGTGGGGGGGGCAGAAGGAGAGGAAGAAGCAGACTCCCTGCTGATCAGGGAGCTGGATGTGGGGCTCAATCCCAGGACCTCTGAATCATGACCTGAGCCGAAGGCAGACGCTTAACCAACTGAGCCACCCAGGTGCCTCTGCAAAATACTTTTTTTAAAGATTTGAGAGAGAGAGAGAGAGTGCAGAGGGGAGGTGCAGAGGGAGAGGGAGAGAGTCTCAAGCAGGCTCCACGCTGAGTGCAGAGCCCAACGCGAGGCTTGATCTCACAACCCTCAGATCACGACCTGAGCCAAAACCAAGAATCGGACGCTTAATTGACTATGCGACCCAGGTGCCCCTGCAAAATATTTTTGTAACTGTCTCTATATAGATCCCAGTAAATAGAGGTAAAACAATTTATTTTCCCACTGTCAGAAATTTAGACAGTTTCTAATTTTCTACTATGATACATAATACATCAACAGACACCTCTGTAGGTAAGATTCTTGACAATTTATTTTGGATAAATTCTTAAGCCTCTGAGTCAAAAATGTATGGATTTTGTATACACTGCTATATTATCCTTTAGAAAGGTTGTATAGCTTTATACAAAAAATAACTTAATCTTTTCTGTGGAGTGTAGAACTAAAAGCAATACTTCCAAGATTAGCAGCATTTCAAGCTCACATTAAAAATTCTGGGTTCAAATGTTGGGGATTAGAAAAGGCAAAATTTTTAAAAATACACATATTCTAAAAAAGTGATTTAGGCAGTACATACCAAGAATCTTAAGAATATGCATTCCCCTTGTGCAATAATTCCACAGTTGGGACTCTATCCTAGGGAAATCATCCCAACAAACATTCATGTATAAAAATATTCACTGCAACCTTATTTATAACAAAAAAGTTTAAACAAACTAAATGTCCAACAAGAGGCTTATGAAAGTGAATTATGGTATAACCACAAGACAGACTATTTTGTAACCGTCAGAAAGGGCTGTTTACAGTTTTTTAAGACACGAGAAAATGCTAATAGTTTTAATGCTAAACAGAAAATATAAAGCCGAGTACAAAACCATATGCATACTACATATTCAGGCATGTTAAAAACTATGTAGTTAAAAAAAAAAAAGAAGGAAAGCAGAAATACTCCAAAATGTTAAGAGCAGTTGCTTCTGCAATGTGGGTTTATGGTGTGAATTTTTCCCCATTTTTTTAAAACAGTCTTCTGAACTCTCCACGTTTTCTACAGTGAGCATATATTACTTGGATAATCAGGAACAAAGTAAACAAATACATTTTTTAAAACTCTAATAAAACAACAATCAGCCCCCTGCCTTGCTTATTTAAAAAACAAAAACAAAAACCACATACCCAAAACTCCAGCTTAGTGCCTTCTGTCAGGGAAAAAGAACAAAATAAAGTGCGCACGAGGCTGTCTCCTGAAGATTTTCTCCCTCCACTTTTAACCATATGACAATAAAGGCACTTATTAACAGTAATGGTAAGAACTCATCTTCAAATGATAATATCTTAAATAATAAAGATTATTGCACTGGATATGTTATGTACATACACTGTGATCTATTCTCTTGTAATATTACACATGTCCTCACAGAGAGAGCATGCAGGTCTGCACTAGAATGTTAACAATGGTCATCTCTGGGTGATGACATTTCAATTACTTCCTTCTTAATTAAAAAAAAATTTACATAACATGTATAGCTTAGTATCAGAAAAAAACTAATAAAGTTATTTTCATTTTGAAAAACAATAACAATCAACAGTAATAAGCATTGAAGAAACAAATCTAATCTGAAGAGGAAGGTGAAAAGCGAGATGCTAATGTGGAGGCTTCCAGCAATGTCTTCGTCAAGTGGGTTTGATCAAGAGTACTGCTTATCCGATCATTCTTCTCTTTTCAGGGAACATGGGCTCTGGTCCCTGAGGCAGTGGCCCAGTCTTGTTGAGTGAGGAGTGCCTGGCACTTTCCCGAGGTCCATGGGCTTACCACAAAGAAGCAAGGGAAAGGTCAAGTGTTGGCTGCAGAGATGGAATCTTCTGGGGATGGGCAAGGAGCTGGCCCAGCTAGGGCCAAGGACAGACTCCTACAAGGCCTGGTTGGTGCTCAGAAAAGGCCAGCCTAATCTAGGAACCTCTTTTAGCTGATGCAGGGCAAGAGGAGGGTTCAAGGAAGGCAAAAAGGGAGCTCTGAGGGTCCAGGTGTCAGACATTCTAATGGTGCCTCTAGCATGTCCAGGGCAACCCTTTATGGTAGGAATTACAAATCCCTTTTTACAGAAGGAGTCAAGTAACGTCCCCAAGGTCACAGGACATCATGTGCAGAACTACCCTGGTCTAACTCTGGTACCATCACAGGGAAACATCGTAAGGTTTCTAGGTCCTTAATTACCATCTGTGTCTGCTTTGCAGAATTATCTGGGGAGCTTTTTAAAAATATACATTCCTGGGGAGACCTACTAAAAATCAGTAAATGCAGGAGCAGAGCCCAGGCATCCATCTAAAATTTTTTCCTAGGTGATTGTTAGGGCTGGCCTACAAATGGCATTCTAACTGCTGGTCTAGGAGAAAGGGAGCAGTTAGTTAATTTATGGCCTCCTCCAGATGTCCCTCTAACAGCGCTCATGCTCCCTGCCTCTAGCCTCTTCCCTCCTTACTCCCCATCCTGCCCATACTCATGTTCAATCTTCCTAAAATAATGCTTTTGTGGTGGGTGCAGAGGCTTTGGGCAAGCCCTTTTATATTATGCTAAACACTATTCTATCTCCTAAATACTGGTAAATTCATCTTCCTATCTTACTTCCACTGGTATCACTCAGGTTCAGGCCACCATTTCCTGGATGGATTTCTGCAACAGCCTCCCTGTCTCCACTCTTGATCCTTACAATCTATTTTCTACGAAGCCACCATAATCATCGTTCATAAACACAGATGTGATCTCCCCACTGTCTGGAAAAAAAATCTTTCCAGGGACTTACTGTATCAGAATCACATGGTGAGCATTTAAAAATGCAGATCTGCAGGCCCCACCCTAGACTCACTGACTCAATCTCTGGGCGTGGGGTCCCAGAAACCTGTATTTTTATAAGCTCCTTAAGTGACCGTGATGCTGTGGCAGATTCGATTATTGTTCAAAAATTTTCATGCCCTCCCCTGGACCTCCACAAACATATATATTTCTCTGTCCCAGTGATACTGGGCTTGGCCTGTGTGATCTGCTTGGCCAGTGGGATGTACCAAGAGCAGGTGCTTCAAATGTACTTGAATGGTTGGGCTTATGCTCTTGGCATCTGCTGTTGAAAAGATGTCCTCGTGGGAAGCCTGGGTGGCTAAAGTCGGTTAAGTCGGTGGCTTTGGCTTGGGTCATGATCCCAGGGTCCTGGGATCAAGTCCTACATCGGGCTCTTTGCTCAGCGGGGAGCCTGCTTCTCCCTCTGCCTGCCGCTGCCCCTGCTCGTGCGCTCTCTCTACCGCTGTCAAATAAATAAAATCTTTAAAAAAAAAAAAAGAAAGAAAGAAAGAAAAAAGAAAAGATGTCCTGGGAAGCTTGTTGACTCCAGAAGATCGAGAGAGAGACAAAGCAGACCTGAACCCAATCCAACATCTGGAGCCAAGCCCACTGAGCCCAGCCTAGAAGAGCGACTCCCAGCTGACCCACAGAAATGAGACTAAGAAATAAAACCTGATACTGTAAATCACTGAGTTGTGAGGTGGTCTGTCATGCAGCATTATCGTGGCCACAGGCGACTGACAGAGCTGCACGGCCAGCGTGGGAGTGTCTGCACAGGCTGGAGGTCAAGCTGCTCAGCCTGGTCTCCAAGCCCTGCTCTGAGCAACCCGGCTGGCTGCTGTGTCTATCCATTCCCCAGCCTCAGCCATTTTCACACTGCAATTACCCACCTGCATAACGTTCTTTTACACAGCACACCTTTGCATGTGTTATTCTACCTGCCCCCAGTCTCTCACTATTTCACTGCAGTTTGTTCAAGTGCCACCACTCAGCGCGGTTAAGAACACTGCTAAGGCCTCACTTGCCAGCACCCAGGCAAGCCACCACACACACGAGGGCATCGGCGTCCAGGCTCTGAAGTTAGTCTGCCTGCGCTGGGATCCACTTCTAATTGACCAGCATGTGACTTTGAGCAAGTTAATTAGCTGCCCTGAACCTCAGTTTCCTCAGGACCTCCTTCACAGCTCTGCAGCAACAAGGATAAATGAAATGACAGGAAGTGTTCACCATGGAGCCTGGAACCCAGCGAAGAGCCAACAGCATCTTCTCTTCCTCCACATTCGCAGGGCTAAGCCCAGAACAGAGACTCAGCCAATCCTCATCACGTCAAGGAAAGAATCAGGGATATTCGGTTTTAATTTTCCTCTCTTCAGACATGAACAGGTGGTTCCCTGGGTCAGACACACAAGTACTACTACATCTGTTGGCAACAGTACCTGTTTCTCTATGAGCCTAATGGTGTCCTCCGAGACTTTGTCCTTTGATTTCTTCAGCTTATTCATTGCATTGGTACGAACTTTCCGTAAGGAATCCTTGGCCTTGTTGGTGTTCTGTTTGGCCAGTTTCACCAGCATTTCCCTGTGCTCCCTGGTTACTCTGATTAAAAAAAGAAACAAACAAACAAAAACATTCAACAAAATCATCCCACACATTAGCTGCTAGCTGAGAATTTAACATCACTCTGTCCACTAGCTTAGCAGTCAGTAGCTCTGCTCTCCATCGGTGATGATCTTTACGGTCCTGAAGCATGCCCAGGGGTGTGCTCGGGGCCAAGTGAAGTTCCTGGTGAGTTAGGTGAGGACAGCCAGTAAGAGGACTGCTGAAAAGCTTGAGCCAGCGCGTCCTGGCCACACCTGGCCAGTTACTGCGTGCGTAACTGACTTGTCTCCTCAGAGTTCCCATCTGTAAAATGTGCTAAGGTGATTAAGAGGCAGTGCCCGTTAACTGCTTAGCGCTGACCCTGGCCCGTTTTGAGGGTTCAATGAAAGGAACCAACTGTTAGCTCTAACTCTACCCCCTTCTCTCCCACTAAAGATGCAGCACAAACGAGTGGATGATGCCACAGAGATTGCTCCGTTCAGTCGCTAAGTCACCCAAAACAAGTTAAGTAGCAATCCTCAGAATCTTACTGATTATTACAGCAAATTACTTGCGAATCACCTCAGGACTAAGACACAACCTGAGTGTCAACATGTGAGAACCACTGCCGCACCAGTTAACTCCCACAAAGAAGCTCCGAGAGGGTCTGGCACGTGTCAGTGCTGACTGAATGTCAGCGTTTCCACTGTTCCCCTCCCCATCGCAGCACCACCACGAGCACACGGAGGGCCTCCTACAAACCCCCAGCACAAGCACCTTCTAAGCTGGCCCTTCCCACCACACGAGGCACTTACTTTATTCTTGTTTCACCTCTGCTCGTCACAACAACGCAGCAAAGTAACCCCGCGAGTTGGCTCCGCCTTTGTTTCTTCGTCCTCTACACAGTGAGGGCTACTCACCTACCACAACCAGGGCCGGGCACGAGGGTACTACGGTGAACACTGACTGAGCTTGGCTCGGCTCTTAGAGAGTTCAGCCAGGGAGAGAGGTGAGCAGAGAGGCACTTACAACGGGAGTGTGGGACACACCGTGGCAAGGGAAGCGACGCGCAAGGCGCCACGGGAGCACTAAAGCAGCTCTGCTAACTTGCCAGGAACTGTCTGAACTCCGGCAGGCGGCAAGCAGGGGAGGCTCTCCTGAAGAAATCATCCCTAAATGCGGGAGTGTTTGGGTCTGCTCACTAGTGTTCTGGTTCTTACTCTTTCCAGTAAGAAGGCATTTTTTTCCTCTCCCCTCTAACGTTTGGTGTGGCACCACGACTTGCGTTGGTCAGTGAAATGTGAGCAGAAATGAGGGGGGTCACCTAGGGGCAGGAGCGTTAGGAGCCAGTGTGGGCTCCGCCACATTTGTTTCTGTTGGCTGCAATACAAGTGGAGATGGGGCGCCCATCAGCGTGGGTCCCAGAGCGACCATGATCAACAGCGCCCATCATGCGCTGTTGCAAGAAGCAGACTTCTGTGCTAAGCCACGGAGACTTGGGGGCTGCCTGTTACTACAGCATAACCCACCCGTCCTGACTAATACACACACTAGGATCTGAAGAATGAGTGCAGGTTGCCCATGCTGGCATGGCAAGGGGGTCTTCCAGGAGGAAGAAAGAGCACGTACAAAGGCTTTAAGCTGTAAAGAGACTATGTTTCATTTGAGGAATTACTGGAGCATGGATAACAAGAGAGTGACAAGAAAAGAGGCTGGAAAGCCGTATTATGGAGGGTCTTGCAAGATCCTGAGCCCTATTTTACAGATGAAGAAAATGAAGCCCAAGAAGTTTGGGCCAAACCCAGGCTGACCTGACTCAAATGGCAACATTCTTAGTATGACAAAATTCCCCTGCCCCCTGGGTCCTGAAATGGACATCACTGGCATATGGTTCCCGACCCTCAAATCAGTGTGCTTCTTACTTGGTGAGGACGAGCCCACGTTCTGGGTATATGTTCCATGTGAAGCAGTGACAAGCAGGTGTTAAAAGATTTAGTGGCATCTACCTGCTATTTTTCTCCCTGACAGAATGAGAAAAAAAATTAAGGAATTTTGAGAAAAGATGAGCTCTGAGGACAAAGCGGACAGTTGCATTTATAAATCAATCCTTCTGGTTTCAGCTGTTTGAACGTATTCTCGAAATAGAAATGATCCTGATTACTGCCATTATTAAGCCCATCTCTGCCAGGTGAGTACTGTAAGTACTGCACCTCACAGGCCCTCGCAACATCTCTTCCAGCTAGATTCTCGTCCCCCCATTTTCCAATGCGGAAATTGAGGCTCACAGATGTGGAGCAACTTGCACATGGGCCTGAGTGACAGGCCTGGGATTCAAATCCAGATCTCTCTGGCCTGTGTGCTTTCCCCTCCCCTGTGCTGCCCACCCCTGGTAATCTATTTCAAATAAATTATGCACTGCTGCCATCACTGCTGCTTCCACGCTGAAAGCTTTTCCAAGTCAGTAATATGAATCTTGGGACTGAAAAGGACAAAACCACCATGTCAGGAGTTTAGGGATTTGGATCAGATCTTATTACTTTTATGGTTTTTAATCCATTGAACAAAAATCATGCCGACATGTTTAGGTCTCTTTTTTGTTCTGCTAAAGCACAGGTCAGTGTAAGGAAGCAACAGGAAAATCAAAACTTGATCCACTGATTCAAAAAACTTAATCCCGCTGAAATACTAGGAGGGACAGAAAAGAAATTAATCTAAGTCTGTAAAAAACCTCTTAAACTTCTCTAAAGAGAGCTATTTCAATCTTATATTTCATATATAATTTGAAATAGATATCCCACTGTTTAGACAACCTTTAATAAGATAAAAAATTTTACCTAACAAACTTCCTTTTCACTACATTGTTACATTTACATTTTACATGACGAAAAAACCGTATCTTTTAAAAAATATATACACTGGGACTCAAAAAAATCTTAGAGGAGTTTTGTAAAAGGCTGTATAAAGAAAACAAAATCACAGTATATGTAATTTGGCTTTAATACAACATATTATTTTGTATTTATTAATATAAAGGTGACATTAGTATACTATTAACACCAGTTTCCACACATAATAGTATCCAATTATTGACAGTGACAAAAACATTTCAGTTTCAATCTAAAACTAATGATGTAATGTATGGGGATTAACATAAGAATAAAAAAATTAAAAAAAAAACCATTTCAGTTTCAGAATGCAAGTACAGAGGCAATAATCTAAGGAAATGGGAGAGCAGAATGCAGGGGTGGGGGCGGGCACAGAGAGGGCTGAGGGGAAGGGAATATGCATGCTGGTTCAGGGTGTTGGGCTGAAAGGTATCTCAAAAACAAGTTCAGGAACAGCTGGGGTGATGGAAAGGCACTGGTATGAAGTCAGCGAGACCTGTTGCATTCCTATGTCTAGTACTCAGAAGCTGATTCCTCATTTCTAAAATGAAGACAATAAAAACACCTCACAGGGTGACGGGGAGAAGCAGACACAACACGTACACAAAGTACCAATAAAGAGAGCAGCATATAGTAGCCTTGAATAAATGATAACAATTATGGATGTTTTAATCAAATACACCTAATTACTTCTGAAACAACGAGGGCACATCTGTTTTAGAAAAGAAACATACTATATTATGGAAGTATTTTAATTCCTTTCCAAACCAGTGATTAATACATCTGATCATCTCTGTCTCACATTCATGGGGTTCTCTGAGTACACGCTAGTTTGTTCTCAGGCTTCTGCACTCAGCCGGGTGGTTCTGAGCACCCGCCTCTGCACTTGGTGTGCATTCATTCATCAAGCACTGGCTGAGGCCCCTGAGTTCCGTGCCAGATCCCGGGCCAGGCTGAGGAGCTCCGGAGAGAAAGCAGGCCTGGTCTAACTTCCCCAGAGGCTCAGCCCAGTGGTGGAGACAAACTCATCAGCCACTACTTAGAAAGAGCATGAGCGCCTCTAGGGCAGAGGGATGGGCCTTCCGCAGGAGGAGCAAGCAGAAAAGTACAACTCATTCTGCCTTGAGATCTGGAAAATGCCTTAGAAGCATTTTGGTCCGCTGAAGAAGAGAGGAGAGGGCATTTCAGGCAGAAGCACGGTGGGAGATCAAATGGCAGGAGGGCAGGAGGCTGCAAAGGTCAAATTTGTTCTGCAGGCCTGGAGTTTTCAAATTCTTCTTTAGCCACAAAACTCTGGCTTTAAAGAAAACCATGGCAGACACTCCATTTATAAGTGTATAAAACAAATGAAAAGAGAGCTCTTCCAGTTAAGGGGAAGGGCACTCGGGGAGGGGTGGTGCTCTTTCCTGGGCTTACAAAGTGTAGTCCACCCTGACTCCCCTCTACTTCTGGGCCTACCACTAGCTGGCTGAGGGACCTCAAGCAAGTTATTTAAACTCTCTGGGCCTTGGTCTTCTCATCTGGAAATAGAAAGGAAAATCAAACAAATGAAAAAAACCCAGCATCTACCTTTCAGAGTTCTTGTGAGGATTCCATGAGAGACTAGGTGGAGCGTACACAGTACAAAAGCCTGGAGGAGCATAAGCAATCAGAGAATGTCAGTTGCCTTTGCTGCTGCTGTTTATGTGTTGGCACTCACTGAGGCATCTTCAAGTAATGAAGAGTTTATTCTTGGAGGTTTTGATCAACAGAGAAACGACAGGGCAAACAATCGATGCTTCAGCAAGATGACTTTTTGAGATCCTACTAGGAATTTAACAACTCGTGTACATTTTATAATCCAAATGCTCCCACCATGTAACCCTGAAATTTTCTCTTTTCGGTACTAATTCATTCATTTAGTTTGTAGTTTCATTAACAGCTGTTTACTGGGCACATATTATGTGCCAGCCCCGATGCCAGCCATGAGAGATGTAGCATTAAACACATGAGTTTACTCTCTAGCAATGGAGGCAGTCATTAAACAAACACGTGCACAATTGATCAATAAGTTACAGTTCTAATAAGCACAATAAAGACATACAGAGTTCTATGAAAATAATTAGCAGGGGAGGGGAGTCTGACCGAGGTCCC